GTTGGTTAGTTAGTTAGTTAGTTAGTTAGTTAGTTAGTTAGGTAGTTAGGTAGTTAGTTAGTTAGTTAGTTAGTTAGTTAGTTAGTTAGTTAGTTAGTTAGTGTTAGTTAGTTAGTTAGTTAGTTAGTTAGTTAGTTAGTTAGTTAGTTAGTTAGTTAGTTAGTTAGTTAGTTAGTTAGTAGTTAGTTAGTTAGTTAGTAGTTAGTTAGTTAGTTAGTTAGTTAGTTAGTTAGTTAGTTAGTTAGTAGTTAGTTAGTTAGTTAGTTAGTTAGTTAGTTAGTTAGTTAGTTAGTTAGTTAGTTAGTTAGTTAGTTAGTTAGTTAGTTAGTAGTTAGTTAGTTAGTTAGTTAGTTAGTTAGTTAGTTAGTTAGTTAGTTAGTTAGTTAGTTAGTTAGTTAGTTAGTTAGTTAGTTAGTTAGTTAGTAGTTAGTTAGTTAGTTAGTTAGTTAGTTAGTTAGTTAGTTAGTTAGTTAGTTAGTAGTTAGTTAGTTAGTTAGTTAGTTAGTTAGTTAGTTAGTTAGTTAGTTAGTTAGTTAGTTAGTTAGTAGTAGTTAGTTAGTTAGTTAGTTAGTTAGTTAGTTAGTTAGTTAGTTAGTTAGTAGTTAGTTAGTTAGTTAGTTAGTTAGTTAGTTAGTTAGTTAGTTAGTTAGTTAGTTAGTTAGTTAGTTAGTTAGTTAGTTAGTTAGTTAGTTAGTTAGTAGTTAGTTAGTTAGTTAGTTAGTTAGTAGTTAGTTAGTTAGTTAGTTAGTTAGTAGTTAGTTAGTTAGTTAGTTAGTAGTTAGTTAGTTAGTTAGTTAGTTAGTTAGTTAGTTAGTTAGTTAGTTAGTTAGTTAGTTAGTTAGTTAGTTAGTTAGTTAGTTAGTTAGTTAGTAGTTAGTTAGTTAGTTAGTTAGTTAGTTAGTTAGTTAGTTAGTTAGTAGTTAGTTAGTTAGTAGTAGTTAGTTAGTTAGTTAGTTAGTTAGTTAGTTAGTTAGTTAGTTAGTTAGTTAGTTAGTTAGTTAGTAGTAGTAGTAGTAAGTAAGTAAGTAAGTTAAGATAGACAGTATTGAATATAATCGCTTCATATGCATATGTTATTGTTTTATTTTACCTTAATATTTTAATCGAACACACAAGACTTATTAATGTCACCTTCATAAGTTTATTTAATTTGTTTTTGTTTTGTTTTAAATTTCTTTCAATTTAAATAAATTTTTTTGTTGTATTTAGTTGTTGGTTTTTCTACATTTATTTTTGCTGCCATCAAATGAACGATTGATCGTTGTTTTAACCACAACGAAAAGCAAAAAATAAATACAACAAACAAATATTTATTCTATGCGGTTTAAATTTTAAATTCAAAATAATGTATTGTATTTGAAATTTGAAATAAACGATATTTTTTTGGTTTTTGGTTTTTATTTATAAAGTTGTCACGTGTTTGTTTGAAGAAATAAATAATTTAAATATTAAATCCCTCAAAAAAATAAACATAGAAGAAGGTAACTACTTAATAAATTTCAAGTCTGCTGAGCTTAGGTTGCACTTTGAATAATTGTAATAATAACCAATAATAGTAATAACTTTTTAATATAAATAAAGGCTTAATTCAGAAAAGAAGAAGTTGGATCTAAGATCTTTTTGTAGTTAAGTCCAAAAGAGAGCAATATGTGATCAAAAGTTAATTTTTCGTATGAAAAACTGCAAAATTAAAAGTTTTAAATAACATTGTTAAAAAACGATTAATTGAAAAAAAAACTCGATCGCTCATATTTCTAAGCAATAATCGATCTTTCAGCATTTTTATCACAAATCACAAATTAACTATAGCTTGCAAACAATTCGACTTAAAAAATATTTTATTAAATAAAATTAAAAACTTACTTTAAAAATACAAGAAATAAAAAAATATTTTGCTGAGTATGAATCACAGTTTTACACTTGAAAAAAATCGGTTTTACGCCTTGAATATTTGACCATGATTAGAAGACAGGATGTACGTAACGAATTTATAATACAGAGAATGTTTTTTAAGAAATTAAATATAAATTGGCATATGAAAACATCTTTTAAGAAAACTAAAGGCTTTTATTAGATCTTGGTTGGATGAAACGACTTTTTTAAAGACCACCTTTTGTAAAGCAGTCATTACTTCAAATTCAGCTAGCTGAATTATTCGCAAAATGAATATGTACTATTCTCAAATAAACTTGTTTACTAGAAAACTTGTTTTGATTTGTAAATAATAACAGTTTTTTTAATTCAGCCATCTTAATTAGGCTTAAATGCCATAAATCAGAAGAAAAAATCCTTAAATTTTAGTTTCAGTTAAAATTCATCAAATTCAGCTAGCTGAATTAAGTTTAAATTCAAAATCACGTAAAAAAATGTCTTTTTTATAAAATACTAGCATTTGCCTTCATTCAGCTAGCTGAATTAAGCTTAAGTGCTAAATTTTTATAAAATAAAAGAAAAATGTTAAAATATTTCTGTTACAAAATTTTATTATTGATCACAAAGTAATAACTTATTAATATTGTAAATATATTTTTAGAAACAATTTAATTTATTTGTTTTTGTAAACAAATTACGTATTTATTTGATTATAAATTGATTACAATTTCAAAATCGAAATATGAATTAAGATGACGTTTATGCTGATTATTTAAGACTCGTGATCAACTGAGATTTTGACATGCATTTGAGACAAATTTTTGTAGAGAATATTAAAACAAATTATTTTTTATTTAAAAGGTTTTATTCTTGTTCACTTAACGTTCAGCTGATTTTTAAAGAAAATCAGTGAGCAATCATTAGTCAAGCTTCTTGGAGCCATCAGCTGGATTTATAAATATACTCTATAGTCTTAGTCTATAGCCTAGTCTAACCTAGTCTATAGCCTAGTCTATAACCTAGTCTTATTAGTTCTAGTCTATAGTCTAGTCTATAGTCTAGTCTATAGTCTAGTCTATAGTCTAGTCTATAGTCTAGTCTATAGTTTAGGTCCTATAGCTCTAGTCTATAGTCTAGTCTATAGTCTAGTTATAGTCTAGTCTATAGTCTAGTCTATAGTCTAGTCTATAGTCTAGTCTATAGTCTAGTCTATAGTCTAGTCTATAGTCTAGTCTATAGTCTAGTCTATAGTCTAGTCTATAGTTAGTCTATAGTCTAGTCTATAGTCTAGTCTATTAGTCTAGTCTATAGTCTAGTCTATAGTCTAGTCTATAGTTCTAGTCTATAGTCTAGTCTATAGTCTAGTCTATAGTCAGTCTATAGTCTTCAGTCTATAGTCTAGTCTATAGTCTAGTCTTAGTCTAGTCTATAGTCTGTCTATAGTCTAGTCTTAGTATAGTCTAGTCTATAGTCTAGTCTATAGTCTAGTCTATAGTATAGTCTATAGTCTAGTCTAGTCTAGTCTATAGTCTAGTCTATAGTCTAGTCTATAGTCTAGTCTATAGTCTAGTCTATAGTCTAGTCTATAGTCTAGTCTATAGTCTAGTCTATAGTCTAGTATAGTCTAGTCTATAGTCTAGTCTATAGTCTAGTCTATAGTCTAGTCTATAGTCTAGTCTATAGTCTAGTCTATAGTCTAGTCTATAGTCTAGTCTATAGTCTAGTCTATAGTCTAGTCTATAGTCTAGTCTATAGTCTAGCTATAGTCTAGTCTATAGTCTAGTCTATAGTCTAGTCTATAGTCTAGTCTATAGTCTAGTCTATAGTCTAGTCTATAGTCTAGTATAGTCTAGTCTATAGTCTAGTCATAGTCTAGTCTATAGTCTAGTCTATAGTCTAGTCTATAGTCTAGTCTATAGTCTAGTCTATAGTCTAGTCTATAGTCTAGTCTATAGTCTATAGTCTAGTATATAGTCTAGTCTATAGTCTAGTCTATAGTCTAGTCTATAGTCTAGTCTATAGTCTAGTCTATAGTCTAGTCTATAGTCTAGTCTATAATCTAGTCTATAGTCTAGTCTATAATCTAGTCTAGTCTATAGTATATTCTATGGTCTAATTTATAGTCTAGTTTTAATCTATAGTCTAGTCTAGTCTAGTCTATAGTCTAGTCTATAGTCATATCTATAGTCATGTCTATAGTCTATTGTCGAGATTATTGTCCAGTCTATGGTATAATCTATATTTATAAAGTATAATCCGCTAGACTAGTGTTTAGTCTATAGTGTAATATATAGTCTATTGTATAGTCTTGTTAATAATCTAGTCTATAGTCTATTACGTATAGAATCTACTCTAGTTCTTCTTATTTATGTAATAACATTTCATATCATTTACACAATTCCAACACTCTTGGCGCTATCTGAACAAAATTTTTAATATGGCATCTTCTCTAGCAGTTTAATAAACCACCAAAGGCACAAACCATTACAGCGGTTTATTTCAGTTTTTATAAGCTTGCATTTCCAATTAGACAACTCTGTTTAACAGCTGTTGTAACAACAACAAAAGCAATTGTTCATAAAAGTTGTGTTGTCATTTGTTTCTTTTCGTTTTTATTTCTACTTTATCAGTCGTTTTACACACTTTATTATTATTTTGTTTTGGAAAAAATACTACTAAAAATTAAAAAAGCCAACGCAATATTATTTAAACAAATTAGTCGGTATTGTTAGCTCTCTAATTGTTAAAGTTCGCTCTCTTTGAACATTTTGTACTTAAAAGAAAAATCAAGATAAATATTAAATTATGTGAGGCTGTTTTGGGCCAAAAATATAATATTTAAAACGCAAGCAATGTGTTGTTGTTATAAATTAAGCCATAAATTTGTTAATTAAATTAAAGAATTGCAAAAAATTTAAAATTATCTATAAAAGTTTAATGTCGTGCCTACAGAATTGCCTGAGCAAAAAAAAAAAGAAAAACAACAAGAATCTATTTGTGTCTGTGTGTTCATGTCGTGCTGTTAATTATCAGTTTTTTTTTTTAAATTTGTTTGCTATTAACCTTTTGTTCTTTTTCCCATAATATTTTGTTAAATTTTTTACAATGTCGTCGCTTACAATTATTAGTTGCACTATTCATTGTGTTGCCAACGATTTTAAAATGTCAATTTGGACAACAGCCACCAGTTCCCCGGGTCTAGATACACCTTTGGGTTCCCTAACACAACAACAGCAGCAGCATCAGCAACAACAACAAACGAAACAAAACGAACATCGCAAGTCTTCCAGTACTTCGATAAATAATCAAGTCCCACAAACCAATCATAAAACTCAAAGTTCTCCTGGCAGTTTGGCCAATATTCTTAGCAGCAGCGGCAGTCATCTTATAAATCATTCACCCAGTGGTGTCAGTGGTGGCCTTACAGCACATTCCAATAACGCTATACATATTGGTGTGGCCGTTGGAGCTGCATCCACTTTAGCTTCTTCTATAATACATCACAGTTCGGGTAGTAATCACAATAACAACAATAATAACAGCAATAATAACGGCAGCGGCAATTGTACTTATCCCCAACAACGTCATAGTCTTTCACAATCTCAGATTTTAAGCTACTCTCCACCAAATCCCAATAAGGTAAGTTTTTTTTATTGTTTTTTTTCCATAGCTATGCTAAAGCTTTTAATTTATTTAAAACTTTTTGGTATTTCTGTTTTTTTGTCTTAAATTCTTGGAAGCTGTGTGTTTTACTAAATGCTATTAGGTAATATTTAGAACTTCAATTTAATTATAAATAATTGTTAGAAAAACCGGCTTTATTTTATTTAAGCTTACAAAACTATAGCGGGATGATTGTGTGGGAATTTGTAAAATACTGACAATTGACCATGTCAATATTGTTTTTGTTTTGGACATAATTCTATACAATTTTGGATACATACTGTAGTACAAATATGTATTACGAAGAACTTTTTCGATCTTAATTAAAATCGGTCTTTAGAAATTTTGTATTTTTATAGAAAATTTTTGGAGTTTTTATATTTCTATAGAAAATTTTCTATTGTTATAGAAGCTTTTACGAAATCTTTTTAATTATTTATAATTTTACGAAATTTTCTATTTCTATAGAAACTGTCACGAAATCTTTCTATTTCCGTAGAAACTTTTACGAATTCTTTCTATTTCTATAGAAAATTTTACTAATTTTTTTTTTCTATACAAAATTTTACTAAATCTTCTTTTTCTATAGAAAATTTTACGAAATCTTTCATTTTCTATAGGAACTTTAAAAAAAATCTTTCTATTTCTATAGAAATTTAAAAAAAAATCTTTCTATTTTTTACTAAATCTTTCTATTTCCATAGAAAGATTTACGAAATCTTTCTTTTACTATAGACATTTTTACCAAATCTTTCTATTTCTATAAGAATTTTTTCGAAATCTTTCTATTTCTATAGAAAATTTTAGAAAATCTTTCAATTTCTGTAGAAAATTTTACGAAATCTTTCTATTTTCTATAGAAAATTTTAAGAAAACTTTCTATTTATAGGTAGATAGATAGATAGATAGATAGATAGATAGATAGATAGATAGATAGATAGATAGATATATAGATAGAAAGATAGATAGATAGATAGATAGATAGATAGATAGATAGATAGATAGATAGATAGATAGATAGATAGATAGATAGATAGATAGATAGATAGATAGATAGATAGATAGATAGATAGATAGATAGATAGATAGATAGATAGATAGATAGATAGATAGATAGATAGATAGATAGATAGATAGATAGATAGATAGATAGATAGATAGATAGATAGATAGATAGATAGATAGATAGATAGATAGATAGATGGATAGATAGATAGATAGATAGATAGATAGATAGATAGATAGATAGATAGATAGATAGATATATAGATAGATAGATAGGTAGATAGATAGATAGATAGATAGATAGATAGATAGATAGATAGATAGATAGGTAGATAGATAGATAGATAGATAGATAGATAGATAGATTAGATAGATAGATAGATAGATAGGTAGATAGATAGATAGATAGATAGATAGATAGATAGATAGATAAATAGATAGAAAGAAACATTCTACATCTATAGAAAACTTTACGAAATTTTCTATTTCTATAGAAAATTATAAGAAATCTTCTATAGGAATTCAACAGAATCTTTCTATTCTTGGAATTTCTTTCAGAAGTTTTTCAAATATAGAATTTTAATACAAAAATTGTATCTGGACTCGATTAGAAGATTTGAGAAAAATTTACTAAATATTTTACTATTTTTTAAATGTTTCTCTTAATTTATAACAATCTGATTTCTCAACAAATCATTTTAACTAATTTCCTTGATTTCAAGTTGAACAACTAATGTTTGTTATTACAAAATAATGAAACGTTAAAAATCCAAATGTTTATATGTATATCATATATAAATGTAATATTATTTGTTTTATATTAAAACTGTAGTTCTTAAAAAAAAGCAAACATGACGCCTCTGAAATGTAGAACTAAGTTTAAAAATAATAAAATTTATTCTTTATTATTTTTATTTATTCACAATCTATGCAAAATTATTTTTCTTAAAGTTTATTTTCTAATTTTATTAAATTATTTTCAAATTTTTTAACCAAGTTGTTTGATTCTCTCTCCCTCTCCTAAAACCAAACAAATTCACATTGTTATTTAACTGATTTAATAATACCACAACATGTTAAACTGCTCATTTTTTTGAGTGTCAAATTTAAACACGTTCATCCGTATGTATGTAATACCTAATGTTTTTATTAGTGAAAGTTTAACAATAAACTGCTTTTTAAAAGCTTTATTATTAGAATCAAATTGCCACAAAATATTTTGTTTATTGAGACGGTTGTTTGAATTCAATTGTGATAAGAAAAGTTGTTAGAGTGTGAGCAA